CTTGGCAGAGTTCCCAGCCTACCCGACTGCCCTTTGTATTTCCTTCTTAGGAAGACAAGGTGTGGCAATACTTCTGAGACAAAAATCAGTACAGGTTTAGGGACTTTATGTGTCTTTCTTTCCACACCCTATCTCCTTTTGCCAAATGATTGATGTGGAGGACTAGGACTTTTCCTCTAAGAAACCATGTACCACAAGGAGGATGATGCAATATAAAGTGATGCTGGAAGTCTTCATTCCTCACCAATTTTGATAAGCTATAGTATGTGAGGAGAGATAAGTGATGATAAATAAAGGAAGAGGAAGCATGTTTACAAGTAGGATGCTTGAAAGTGGGAAAGGCTGCAGCACAAATGGCCTGTGAGATCCAGTGAGGATACTTGAAATAGCCTGACTTTAAGCTGATTGAATAAAGAACTGACACAAGCTCATAGCATGGACAGAGACACTCCAGGCCCAGCAGAGGCAGGGAATTTTGAAGTCAGGACTCAAGCGAGCCAATGCCTTGGGACTGGAACAGTTTTGGCACAAATCATGTTAGAGCTTAAATCCAAGTTGCTGAGTGAGAAATTACATAAAATATGAATATATCTCTACCTTGAAAAATTGGGCCTACTTTGTGCAACTTACAAATGCAACTTTTTGAATTTGTTTATTTACCATGGCATGCATTGTGAAGCTGCAGAAGGATGAAGAATCTGCTTTCTGAACTGATGTTGAATCTGAAGCAAAATCATTGCAAATTTAAGCCTGCAAAATTATTATTAAGCACTGAAAATTGCCGATTAAAGCAAGAAGTATGCATAAAGATTTCGACAGACTCACTCCCCTGTTCAACGTGAGATGTTTATTCCTCTGCTGCGTTCACTGCCAGCAGGCTTTTAATGTTTCCTAAATCACACAAGCCAAAACACCTTGCTGTGTCTGTCCCAGAGCAGTACTTCTCTGGGAGACTAAGAATGCTGACCTCAGGAATGCAGGAGCAGACATATTTGTTGCGAGACTCCGCAGAAATCAGTCTTCTGCTGAAAATTACTGTCTTTATACAAAACTATCACTGGCTTCTGAAATAATAATATCATACTTTAACAAACTGCTAATACAGCCCAAATCTTCCCTTCTTGAAATCTATAGGAGCTTTCACCGTGGTTTAAACAGGGCATGACTAACGTGACAGTATACATTTGACTAAGAGATGAACATTAAATAAACCTCAAAACTAAGCTATATTTAATATTCTTAATTTAAAGTTGATATATGGTGGCATCAGACAGCTCTTAATTAAAAAGGCTCAAACCAAACAAAAATACAAATAAAGGCTTGCTAAAATCCTAACTTATTTTGTAATCATGCATTGCAATAGCAGTTGTTTTTGCTGGTCTGATCTGCCTTTCTGTTGGCTGGGTTCCCTTTCTGTGACAGATGTGCTATTTATGGAAGGGGATTCTGAATATTTTAAAGCACTGACTGTTAGGATCATCTCATTCCCAGCCTTTAAAATGAAAGAGAACAAAATGCCAAATAACTTCCCAAAGAAAAACCTCCAAACTGAACAGATACCTATTTAATCATTAAAAAAGAAAGGGGGGGGGGAAGCAAAATCAGATTGTCTGATTTTTACAAGAAATGAATACGTACGTACAGCAGCCTAGTTTTTGCTGTGCAACATTTTCTGATTTAACACGATATTTGGTATTAGTCTTCACTTTTAAAAAAGTGATGCTCTTTTAGAGAAAAAAATAAATCATAAGGTACACAGGTTCCTAGGGAAAGAATATGTGCCTGAAAATTTGGCTGCTTTCTTTCTCAGCCATATTGGCAGGTCGAATGAAAGATAGCGCTTCTCTGGGCAAATCTGGCCTCACAAGGAGCTGTTTATTTCTGCAGTTGGCCAGAAACCATTTATATTCTCTTATACATATGATAAATATTATTTACCTAAAGAATTCTTTCAGTGAAATATTTTCAGAGCTAACACGTTAATCTTCCCAATTCTGTTCTCGTGCTGGGTATCAGCTTGCGGTATTCGCAGGTAGAGGGAGAGGGAGCTGAGAGAAGTCACCGACATAGTGGGGGAGATTCTACTCTTTAAACAGGTAGATCTCATGGTTTGTTTTACCTCACCTGCTGGTTTAGCCTTCTGGGAAGGTAATTCAGGTTATAGTAAACTGCAGTGTGGTTCTCATTCTCCCTTTGGAGACACAGTGACAATGAAAACAGAACCATTTTTGCTTATTAGGCATTTTAAAAAAATCAGATTAGTAGTTTTTAATGTTTTTCTCTTTGCATATTTTTCATTATACATGCAAAATACTTTATTGTGCTTTTAAGTTTTCCAGAAAATAAGCCTTTTTTGACACTTATAAAAATCTAATTCCCACAATTACTCCTGCAGTCTGTGCAGAGGGTGATACCAATTTAACGTATGCAGCGGCTGAACAACATGCATGCTATTAATCTCAGAAGGTAACAGAAAGCCATTAAGTAGGTGATGTGATATTTTTAATTATTATTTCTGCTGGTTTTATGTTTCAAAATTATTTTTTCCTTAAAGACGACAGCACTTTAGGATCTGCATTGACCTCCATGATGTCAGAATGTCATTGTGCAACCGTAGCTAAGAAAAGCCTCAGAGAAAAAAAAAACAACAAAGGAGCTTTGCGTCTTCCAATAACATGAGATGTGCATATACAGTACGTAGCATTTTGGAATTCAGACTGTGGTAGTGAGTTGTTGCTTTCAGTTTGATTAGACAATCATTGTTTCGCTTTCCTTGCTCTGACAGTGAGTATGCTCGTACGCTGCTTAAGTCTTCTTAGTGCTATCTAGGTCAGTGTACTTAGCATGGCTTTTATGTTCTGTAAGTCTGACAGATACCGTGCTTGACAGAGATCAGCACCAAATTTTCTTTTATTTATTATATCTGAGGATAGCAAAATATCTTAAAACTGATCAGAATTGTATGCCACATAGCACCTACCGTTTCTGCATTGCAGATATATTTAGCTCTAACACTGCTTGTGGTTAACAGGGTGTAGCGTAGACACAGACAGCTGATCATGCAGTCAGACCCGGGGCTCGTGTGGTTTGTCAATACTGCTCAGGATTTTGATGGACTGTAAAAGAGAGAAAACAGAAAGGAAAGAAAAAGAAATGTTTTATTTGTCTGAACATTAGACTTTTAGCTCTATTATTTCTGCTGTCACTGGCTTTTTATTTTATTTTTTAATTCAGAGACTTAAAAATTGAGAAAGCACAGCAAATGCATCCAGGATTTAATATGTGCGACGTGAAATCTTTCTGCATCGAGAGGATGTTACTGTAGTCGCTGCAGCGCTTCTCCAATAAGCAAGAAGACTGTTTTGTTTTCCTCGGCAGGCGACTCAGCCATTGCACAAGCAGATTTTGATAAGAGTTTGAAATGCTTACTACTGTATCATTGTAGAATTTGGAGTTTGCTAACAGTGTTAGTGACTGGAGCTCATCTTGCATCACCAGTTGATGACAATTTTCTTTGTTCCCTCCCACCCAGTTGAACCAAGACTCTGTAGCTGATACGCAATGTCACTTACAACATTAATCAGATACTGCATTTAAGGTGAGCTGTCCCTTGCCTCCTCCCTTACCAGAGCTGTGCTGCAGTATGTATCTTACTCCTGCAAGCCTAAAATGGCAGGCAGGATTAACGTTGCTTGTGCTGTGTGCATGCTGTGTATTGAATTCATTATACTGTGCCTAGTATCTCAAATGTGAGTATGTAAATGGTCTGTGTGCCATGTCATGCAGTAGTGAAGAGTGGTTTGTGCTTCATTACAGGCTTAGATATTTGAGCATCACCTTAAGAATTCTTTTTTCATTTGCAGTGTGGTGAGCTGTTAGCTTGTCATCACATTCAAACTACATTATTAGCCCTTGGAAAGGGAAAAAAAAAAAGCAAACTGTGCTTCCAGATGGTGTCACCCTTTTTCTTCTTGCGTTTACTGTAGTTTAAATAATGTATATTGTATTGTTAATTAATGTGAATATCGAATTAAAGCACTTGAAACTTACATATTTATTATGCAGGTAGGAGGCACGTCGAATCTATTTTTAACTCTTACGCAGTCCACGTTGTGCAATGGGCTTTGGTTGTCGAGTTTATATTTTCAGCTGTGATATCAATAGGTTGATTTTCAGTAAATGTGACAAGTGGCCTTTGCAGTGGTCAGCTTCAAGCTTTGAACCCTCTGAGGAGGAGGAAAAAAAAAAAGCCAACCTTGTGTTGCAGTTTCGGAAAACCTTGGATGAGGACGTGGTTTTTTTTTTTCCCACTCCTGCTTTCCCTGTTGATAAACTCAGTTCTCCTGATCACGGTCTATTCAAGCTGCTTCCCATCTGAATTTTGACAACTGCTTCTAAAAAATTATCAAGAAGATCAAGAATAGAACTTATCTCCATCGCTTTACATAAAAATGGCTGGGTGCATTGCCATGCTAACACTGCTCTAAGTGGTACATGCAGGTAGGTTGAGATTTGCATGTTTTACTGTTTTCTTGGTCAGTGTTGCAAGAACATGAAATGGGCTTTGGAATGTAGCTTTCAGTTTAAAAATGTACTTAACTGTTAATGAAAACAACCTATATTAAATTGTTGGCTTCACATAATGGCATGACAGTTACTCATATCTGTTTTTTTCAAATCTATTGTGAAAGTGGAGCAATCATGTCTGTTAAAATAATCATATGTACTAAGGGCGTGGCAACGCTTATGCAACAAAAGAATTTTTGAAAACCCTATTGATTCCATTACATTTTAAAGCTGACTATAAGCATTACTAAGCTCGAAGATAAAATGCAGAAATAACAATTGAGATAGATTAGAAAAATGAAAAATATTTAAATTCTGTCGTAAGCGGTTTTGTGTTTTGTGCGAAATATTAAATAAAGAATAATATGTTTTAATGCTTATATTTTATTTTGCTTGTATTAGCTACAAACATAAAACTCCAGTATTTCTTTTTATTTAAAGATAGAAGGATTTTAAAGAGAAAGATTGATATAGATGGCCCTGTCAGCTTAAACTGAGTATCAGTTCACTGTGTTTTACTTCACACAGAAAAGATTATGAAGTAAAAACTTAACAGCCTTAAATGCAAAAATCTGAATTTGAGCATTAAGAATAAAAATAATTATGAGTACTGTATTACTTACTCCAACTTTTGTAATATGTTTTTTTCAGATTAATACTGGGCCAGAACCAGTTTCCTTGGCAACCAAATCCTTTTAAAAGGTTCAATGGTAGAGATGTAGAAAGATGTTATTCTCTTTAATAGCAATATCACAATGCAAATGGAAATGGTTGTTTCCTCCTAGTTCTAACTGAGAACTGATCTCATTTTATGTTTCCATGTGTCTATCAGTTCTTAAACGATGCCATGTTTATAAGGCTGTACACACAAAAACCTGTTTTATTCCTGTTTTGCAATGGTTGTTCCCAGAAACGTACCCTGGTTTCTTTTTTTAATTTAGCCTCGCCTTGCATGTAGGTCAAGGTTTGTACTACGTGTATATAAAGAGATAGTTTCATTATCACAAGTATAAAAATATTACTAAAATATTTAGCAGCTGAGAAATTTAGAGAATCAGAAGTATGTTTAAACCTTCTTTCACTTTTTCTGAATTCAGCCACAGTAATGCTAATAAAGCTTTCTTTAAATACTGAAGTGCAGGTACAGAACTGTTTTTAAGCATACTGCAAAGAACTCCTGTCAGACCTTAAACAAACCTTCAGAGGATAAGGTCACTTGTGGTCTGCGGTAATTTGCAGACCTTACAGATTTTGCAAAATTTAAGTATTATAATTCTTTATTTCTATTTTTAGCTACTATTTTTTACAGTGTCAGTTAAGTAAAATCATATGTGTACCACAGGTAACTGCCTATGCAAAATCAGATGTTACTAAATGTCTCCACTGAGCTTATAACGTAGTGTATCTGCGTGTCGACCCCTTTTGTACGTGACTTGAGAAATTCTCACTGCTGCAATGAGACTTTTGCAGCAGGGAAGCCATTTTCCTTTCATGTCCTTGGCTTTAAAATGACTAAGTATATTTTGTGTGCATGAGGACCCAGCACTGAAAATGAATGCAGAGGACGCATTTAGAAGCACAGCCAATTATTAATAATAGCCTTGACAGTATCAGTAATATCAAATTAATTCTCATTTATTTCTAAATATATCAGTTCAATGCATTCCAAATGAACAGAGTGTAACTGTTCAGGAATATGACTTGTCATCTGTTGTAATAGGCAAATGCTTAACAATGATAATAAACCCATTTGATTCCTAATTGTAAGATTAGTTTAACACAGTGCAATATTCCTCTGTTCCACCTAGAGAAGCAGAACTGAAAACACAACAGACAGCATCTCTCAAGTGACATATTAAAGTTTGCATTTTTTGTAATCTGATTTATCTCCAGTAGCCTGCTTCTGCTGATTATTCTCCTGTCTAAAATGTTAATATGGAGTGCGCCATTACATGCAGCAAGAAAGTGCATTTCTTTGTTTATTTTTGTGTGGTTATTTTTAAAGGAAATTGCTGAGCAAATGATATGTCGAAGCAGTCTATTTATTGCCGCTGATATTTATCTTTAGAAAAGATGGAGCACTTAGCAATAAACTGTTTTTATTAGGTCTTTGTGTTCAAGCATACCCACTTAAGGCATTTTTTAAAAGTAGCTCTGTTCCATGAGCACACTTCGCTATGGTTGTTTTAAATCCATTTGCCAATTTGCTCTTTGTTAAGGGGTGCGAGTCCTCTTGTAATTAATATGACTGAACTCAAGTGCTTTCATGAGTCCGGAAAAACTCATTGGCAGCCTGTGAACAGTAATTTCTTCCAGCTAAAGAAACCGATTTCTTTATTGAGGAGGAGTCTGGTAATTAGCAAGCTGGTTCCAGTTTGACTGTTAGACGTGGGTTGCTGTACGTACTTCAGAGGTACCTCCAGCTACTGCAGTGTCAGAATGTCGTAGCCAGAGGTGCCACAGGAAATCTGTAAACTTCATCCATTTTATTCTCTTTGGCTAAGGGGTTTAACTCGGGCAGGGAGGAGCAGGTGCAGTTTTTCCCACCTCCAGCACAGCCTGCAGATATTACTGTTAGTGGGGCTTGTTGGGTTTTTTGGGGTATATTTTGTTGTGGGTTTTGTTTTCAGTTTTATCTAGAAGTCTAATTGTTGATACTGAGCCTCCCTTTTTATAAATGCAATTTGTGCTTTTAATCATGCAAATTCCATTTATGCCAAACAGAAAATCTATACAAAGCATGAGTAAAAATAAAATCAAACTCAAAAACTATTCACTCTGACACTATTCTACTTTCAATAGCATTTCTGCTTAAGGTTACTTCTACCTCTAAACTTCATTTTGATTTGAAACTGCAGGTCTCTCAGTGGATTAGATAATATTTCTCAGACTATTAGACAGATTCTGGTTGTAATGAACAGGTACCAATTAACCCTTTCGAGGCATCTAGTGCCTGTTGTATTTTTTCACATAAATTGCTTTAGTATGTATTAAAAGGGCTTTATTGTGTAAAATATTGTATTTGAATTCTGGTATTACCAAATTTGGGAATTCTTTATCTTTGGTAAGAACTTTTACTGTTTGATTCCCCCAAATGAGCTGTTTAAGCTTCATGTCACCATATTTTGGTCACTTATGATTATGCCTTTATTGGAAGTTGAGGTAATAATAACAACTTAACACAATTTTCTTTCATTCTGGCCTTTGTCATAGGCAACGTGAGCTACAGAATTCTCATTCAAATTAACCTGTACTAAAATGTACTTGGCTAAACCAACACAAAAAAATTAGCTCACCTTCTTACCTTTAAAAGCCAAAGTAATGGATCCTGTATTTCCTGTACAATGTTATCTGTAAGAGTATTTGGTGTATTTGCAAATGGAAGATGCATCTCTGTGTTCTTAATTGCTGCTCTCTCATTGCTGCTGTATAAATGCCTATCAGCTGAGTCATAAGGCCTTATCTGTATGATTCTGCAATTGCCCTATGGAACAATTTAATTTTGTTTAGTAACTTTGAAACAAAATCCTGTTCTGAATAATTTTAGTACTATTACATGAAAACCTTTTTAGGATGTTTGATACATAATAACAAAATCCACATGTTTGACAAGGATGAATAATCATTTAAGCAGAGAGATAGAGGAAGTACATTCCAGAGAACAAGAACTGCCTAGAAATGTCATTATCACAGATACTCTGATGATATCTGTGACAAGAGAGACCAAAAGGGATGGAATAGAAAGAGAAGAAAGGGAACATCTTTTGAAATTATTATTTTAAACTTGAAAATGTCCTTACATTTCTGTCTAGAACATATTATGAATCATTATGTCCAGTTTGCACTACACAGGTTAAACCATAATAAAACAATGCAGCAATGCAGCAGAAGTTTGGTTAATGGTACTGTTTTATTGCTGGTGTGTTCTAAGCCTCACAGATGTAGATTTGGAGTCCTACAGCACCCCTGGGAAAATTCTGCTGAATTACATAATGTATGCGGAAATTAGTACTTGTCCAATAATTCAGTATTACATTTGGATTTTTCCCTTTGCAGGCTGATACACAGTAGCCACAGAGTTTACAAAAATTACTGAGATGATTTTCCCGAAAATACCTGTCAATACCACTTTTAAAAGGCTCTAACAGAAGAACAACCTGATTTTAGGTGGGTAAGTTTATGGGGTGATATCACATAGAATTAGAGATAAAATATTTAACACTATAACCACTGCATTACATAATTTTTTTCTGTTAAGTTCTAATTTATTATAGTCATTTAAGAGTTGTTCTCGTTATGGTACCACACTGCTCTATTCTCATGTCAGTATTGTTGGATTTTTCCAGCTCCTGCTGGATTTCTATTGCCACAGAGGTTGGACAAACAAAATCAGGCAGAACAGATCTTTGAAACAGGTTGTTAGAGCCACCAATGATCTGTACAAACCAAACAGATTGGTAGGGAAGCAAACCTCTGAGCTTGCCAGAATGTCAGCTCGAGATCCCAGTCACGAGTGCTCCTCACAAACCTGTGCCACACAGGAAAGGCAGAACTCTTCGTGCCAGTGCCCACTTCTGACACTGTTGTGTTGGTTAAGCTGTGTACAGTTCATAGAACTCTACCTTTATATGTGACCGTAATCAGGGATGGTAAAAACCCTCTTGATTCATGAGCTGGAAAGAGCACTCTGTAGATTCAGAGCGATAAATATTCAGGATATTTCAAAATAACAGTTCGCATTTTGCACGTCTTTTTCAGATTTTAGCAGTTTCCTTTTTTCTTATTGTAATGTTCAATAACAGTCTTGGTTAGAATGAATATGTCTGATATCTGTGCTTTAAATTTAAGATATGTATGTATTGAATGGAAGAATCAGTGAAATCCTGATTAATTTGTTAATTTTTAATGTGGTCCTTTGTACCAAAGAGTATAATTTGCGTTACAGAAAGGGAGAAGTTCCATTGATTTCAGTAGCACTATTTGCACAAATTTCTGTAGGAAATGGTTTGTTGCATCACAGTCGTTCATGCTGTGGTATCTCTAAGTCAAAATAAGTAATTAAGGTTACCAGGCAGAATGTATGATAAGGAACCAAATTTAAAAAAAAAACAAAAACAACAAACCCACAAGCCAAAAAACCTCTTTGATTCCTAGAATATCTCAAACTGTTTTCTGTATTTACTTTTATTTTTAATACATGATGTTGCGTGACATAGAAAATGGTAACAGATTTTCAGAGACAATAAAATGGCACTGGTGGTTTAAATTAATCGGGGAAATACTAAAATTAGATAAATTCAGGTCACCTGCACTTACAGAAGCAATGAGCTGCCAAACCCAAGTTGTACCTATTTTAAGTAAATTATCATGGAACACTTGCTCAGTACATTTGAGATAGAATACTGGGCCATAACCTGTTTCCTTGACAACCACATACGAATAAAAGGTACATTAGCAAAGCTGCAGATGTGTGTCAGTGAATGCTTATTAAGCAGCCCCATGCATTTACATACCATGTGCTCACAATAATGCATGCATCTTGAAAATCACCATATAAAAAGATTTCTGGGCATGGCCCAATGTGGATTCCTAATACTCAAAGGTTTTAACTGAAAATCTCCATGTTTTCAATGGAAATATCTCTTGTGATTTTTTAACTCATTGCACTTTAAATTGGACTTGCGATAACTGGACGAAATTGGTGTGGTAGGCTTGGTCTGCAAATTGAAACCTCTCTCCAGGATTCTGAACATTCATAGCTCTGCCTTCAACATCAAAATATGGATGGGAATGATGGTTGGTTTACATTCTTTCAGAAATGCTCAGGCATTCTAAATCCGAATCTTGTGCCAGCAGTCAGAAGCAAGCACGATCATACTGTTTTATACAGTGACAAACTAAAGCCACTAAATAAAAACGAAGCTGGTGTTGCTTGCAGCACTCTCGTTCTATCCAATGTACCCAGGCCAAGAGATAAGACCCAAGTGTTGTCTTCTACCAGTCAATGACAGGAAAAGGCAGGGCTGGAGAAAAAGCTGTGGAAGTCAAAATAACAGCTGTTCAAAGACTTTTGGAATAATATTTGGATGTAGCATTTAGGCAGCACTCATACTTTCTGTGCAAGTGTTTGTATAGTACTATTTTGGTTTACAGTCCTGGATTAAAAAGAAGCTCAGATAAATAAGGTCAGTTCTGTCAAATTTGTGTACTGACTTCAGCAAGTTTATGTACAGGTTATTTTTGGCCTTTCTTCTTGAAGTATTTATATCTGGAATGAAAAGTGTATATAATGCTTTGGGTTATCCCAAAATTACATATTTTTAAGAAATAAGTCTGAAATCCTATTAATTAAAAAGACAGGGAAAATGGGAATCTGCAAATCCTGGCTTTAAATTCAGTGTGTGTAATCTGAGAAGTTGCTTATGTGACCAGTAGCCTAATTACATCTGCCTTGAAATCAATGAAAAGATTCCCATTTACATTTTTTTGGAGCGTACAGTAAGAGAGAAGACTTCATACATAACAATTAGCTTTAGGAAATGAAGATTATCCTGACAATGCTCAACATTTCCCTAATTCTCAGCAGTTGAGAATCAATATGAGAATCTAGTATTAATTCCAGACAGTTTGAACACTGTGACATGAATCTTTTCATGATCCTGAACCATAAACAATGTGATTATACACCATCACGTGCTGCAATACCATTAAGGCCTTTGAGCAAATAAGAGTTTGGGAAATTATTACAGAGGGAGAGAAGTCAACTGTTGTTTGGTTGGTTTGTGGTTTTGTTTTGGGGTTTTTTAAATTATTATTAATAATTTTATTTGTTGCTCCCCATCTGAGCTGAGCTCAGAGCTGAGCAGTTCATACTGGTGGCAGAACAAGCAGCACAGACTTTCTTCTTGCTGCCAGTTGTTACCTGCTTTTGCTACCGTCCTTCTCCACTGCACGAGCAAAGGCCCTGCTACAGCCTTGAGGAAACGTGCAGGAGGGTGGAAAAGTAGGACTTAGGCTGAGCCACTTAGGTCAGCACAAAATGGAGCGTAAGAAGAGCATACAAAGTTATTGTGTGTCCAGTAAGCTGTCATAATATTGACCACGCAAAGTGATGATTCAGAGCAATAGCCATCACTTGCACGTTGGTTTTGGCTCACCGATATGATCAGCAAAACCAAAAATATTTTGCAATATTTTAAGGGATACTGGAGAGCAGTGGTGGCCAGTTAACAGCTTAAAAACAATCCTAGTTTTCAAAATGGCTGTGTCCAGCCCTCTGGCAGACCAACTAAATGAGGTGTTTCCAGGAAAAGGGATTTAGCTCTATTTTCAGTCTCGCATGATTTGCTACATCAGCTGTAGTAAAGGGCAGGAACGGCTGCACTGGCCCAGCACACCTCACCCAGAATAACAGTGGCCCCCGAGCGTGCAGTGAATGCTGGTTCCCATATTCCAAGGATGTTTCCTCTGAAAATTGGAAAATGAGGGACTGAGTTCAACTGAGTTCAAAAGCTCAATACTTTATCTTTCTGATAACCAAATAGGCAAAAAAATACCACATAGTAATTGTTCTGAATGAGCAAATAATAAATGTTTCATTTGCTCCTTTTGTTTAAAGCTATTCAAACATATAAATCACTACATTTGACAGCAGTCAACAACAGAAAAATGTCTGTTGTTGTCACTGTGTCTGTAAACACAGCTTCGTGCTTGCAATTGATCTGTGCTAGCTAAGGACTCTGATATGCCACACAAGTGTAGGCGGCTAGAAAATGGCTTGTCAGCAGCACGTAAAAAATGAAAGACTTAAATGGAAAATAATACTAAGATTGTTCAGAGATAGCAAGATGTAAAGTCAGCTGATTCTTAGTACCAGTTCAACATAAGCTTTTGTATTTTGTGCAAAAGAAGAATTTGGATTTATGTCAGTTATTGCTGTTGCTTCATTTTCTTTTTTTTAGACTGATGAAAAAGATGTAGTTACACCTTTAAGAAGTGCTTGAATGTGTTCTGTTCAGTGTTAATGGGAGCCAGATTAGGCCATGCCTAAATTTTATAAAGGTAATATACCTTGGAGAGAGACTTGGTTGGTGCACATGCACAGCTCACAGTTTGAGAGCCAAATGAGTTGTCCAGGTTTCTCTCCTCTCCACCAGACTTGGAGGAGCAGGTGGCTGCTGCAGGCACTGTAACTGTGCTCCTTCTCCCTTCTTCTCCCTCCACTTGATGCTTGAGAAAAGGAGGAGGGCTGCACAAAGGAACTCTTACCCTTGCTCATGTAACACGAAGAGGAGTTGAAGCCACTTTGGTTGGGCTGCTGGGTCTTTCCTGTGCCTCACTTCTGAGTGAAGTGTTGCCCATCTGAGAGCTGAGGAGCTGCGTTTCCTTCCTCAGCAGCATCACTGGCTGATGCTTTAAGATGAGAGCAAGGAAGACGACAGTCCATCCAAGAGTTTTCCTTATGGATAGGTTGGCCTGCTGTAGGCACTGAGACAGAAACCAGTCACGTCCTGGCCAAACTCCTGTTACTTATGAGGAATTTGTGAGCCTGAGTAACGCTATATATATGTTGTTTCCTGCTGTACCTTAAGAGCTGAAACTGCCTGAGGAACATTGGAACATTTTTTTCCCAGGCAGTCTGAAATACTCTTAAAGAAAGAATGCCACATGCCACCAGCTGCAGAAGTGAGATTATCAGACTTCAGCAAAGCATCCAAAGGTTTTTCAGTAACATTTCAGTAACCATTTCAGTAACGTTCGAACTGTTTTATACATTTTAAAGAAACTCTGACAATTTTCTCTGTACCTTGCAATTTTACCATATTGGAAATAATCCACTGCTAAACTACTTGGACCTCCACTTAAAAGGAACATAATATTTGTGTGAGGTTATATGCAAACATTTATATTTTTAATAGAAATTGGTATACTTACACTAGCAAGATAGCTATTTTTAAAGTATATCATTTATATCCTGGCTTATACCCTGGAATCAGGACTGCACATGCAAATGAATCTTGTGTGAGTTCTCACAGATGTCACCATAGTCCATTCACACAGGTCTGACTGCAGCACCAGCACCCCCATTTGCTTAGCATGCAGCTGGTTTTACATGAAACGTTATGATGATAATGTAAAATCCTGGGTGAGGCCAAGACAGCCTTAGA